ATACTACTGCTATGAACATCCTAGACTACCTACTCTACTACCCTAATCCTCGACGTACATACCTTCCTATCAAGGGTCATGTCCTCGGTCAGCTGAAGCTACGCCATGTCTTGCCTAATCACCTCTCCCGACCTCTTCTTTGACCTACCTCCACCTCTCCGTAGGACCTCCAATGTCAACCTCTCACACCTCCTCATCGGGCGTCTGTGCTCCTCCTCCTCACATGAGCAAACCACCTAAGTCGTGCTTCCCGCATCTTGTCCTCAATAGGGGCCACACCCATCTTGTCGCGAATAACCTCATTCTGATCCTATCTAACCTGTTGTGCCCGCACATCCATCTCAACATCCTCATCTCTGCTACCTTCATCTTCTGGACATGAGCGATCTTGACTGGCCAACACTCAGCCTCATACAACATCGTTGGTCTGACCACCACTCTGTAGAACTTACCCTTAAGTTTCGGTGGCACCTTCTTGCCACACAAAACATCGAAAACGAGTCTCCATTTCATCCATCCCGCCCCAATACGATGTGTGACATCTTCATCAATCTCCTCACTCCCCTGAATAATAGACCCAAGGTACTTAAAACTTCCTCTACATTTATTTAAATAAATATTTTAGAGTTAATAAATAATTGTTAAATTAAATTTTAAGTAAAATTTGTTAATTAAATAGATAAACTTCTTAAAATAAATGTAAATAATAATTTTTAACCTTCATAAAATATTTTTAGGTTTATTAAAATTAGAGAGTACCAACTTTAAAATGGCTTTATTTTGAGATTGAATTAAGAGCAAAAAAGGATAATAAAATGATCAAACTTACTTGTCATACCCGACACCACTTATGCTATTAGACATGTTCGTCTTTGACTGAACCCGCTTGTGTAAAATTCTGAGTTCGCCACTGCTCAGTACTTATCAGTTGTCATACTTAATCCTACCCGAAATTTGAAATCAGGATGTAAATATAATTGGTCTCGTAACAAACAAGGCATAATCAATAGTATAAGCTAAACTTATGTGAATTTTTTTAATTATCTTACTCGCACTCGTGTTTAGATCAAGCCAAACAAATTAACCTTAAAATTCAATAATTAATTTTCTAATGCATATCACTTAACTATGATTAAACACTAAAAGTTTATAAGCAAACTATTCATCATGTATTTATTAATTTGGTGAGAACATCAGACAAAGTAAAGTATTTACCCATTTCCAACGGCTTTACCTCGCTAATTGATAGGAAAACTCAGACTTCCGTCTAATGTTATTAGGATTGGAACGATAAATGACCATAAGACGAGTCACCTTCATATATACTTCTTTTTTATTAATTATTTACTAGTTGTCTAGTAGTGCATGGACCAAGTGAACAAAAAAAGAAACTCATGTCTTTATTTATTTATTCTTCATTTATTTTGGGGGAGGGGAGAGGGATGATTATGAAAACGACGCCCGATTAATAAATATAGGGGGGAAGTACATATTGTCTGTAGTGGCAAAGCCAAAAAATTCAATAAGGGTGTTCAAATTTGCCAGTGGGTTATGCAAGGGTATTCAAAGTCTATTTTTAATCAATAACAAGTAATATTTTACCTTATACGTAGTATAATTTTTCGGCAAAGGATGGTCAGCTGGCCACTGTTGGGCCAACATAGCTTTGCCCCTGATCATCCGTGTTTCTTTTCATTTTTAATCAGATATCTTAAATTTGAATTTTGGGAATGAAATTCCCTTGGAAGGGAACGCTAGAATTCTCATAAGGGACTTTTTATGATGAAATCTGAATTAGTGGAGACAATGAGTTTCGAAAATCGGATGAGGAAGTAAAAAATAAAAATAAAAAACGTAAGAAGTTTGAAGGGATCCTCTCATCTTTATTGGTTAAGTAGGTGAAAGATGGTTGTTATGTGGAAGCATTAGTCATGATCATCAATTAATTATATGGCTATGTGTTTAGAATACGACATATAATTAGCTTTCTCATGTTTCGCGCTTTTCTTTGGGTTAGTTTTACTATTTGATAACTCATTTGATAGGATATGTCTATGAGATTATGACACGAACATTCTACTAATTAGCTTGCATGAATGTATAGGAAATCAAACACCAATACAAAAGGTCTTCTAACCCAATAAATCTGTATTTATATTATAAAATTTATTAAATATAATATTTAAATATTTAATTACAAATTCAGTACGTAACTAAAACGAGTTATGAGCTTGTTATCAAATTTAAAATCCATAAACTTTAAATCCTCACTGTCTTATATACATGTCCCCCTAATTTTCACGTCAAATATATATGTTTCAACTTTCAAGACATGCGGATCATATTACAATTGATATCAAATAAACAACTAGTTATTGGCCTATTTAACAGTTTAGATACAATCAAATCTTTCTATAACATCATTTGTTCCAGATTTTTTTAGTTGTTATAGAAAAGTGCTGTTATATAGAACATATATTGTAACATAACATGGAAATCAGTTTCAAAAGAAACTTGACTTTTATAGTGAGTGGTTGTTATATGGCGATACTATTATAGAGAGGTATGAATGTATATGATTTGTTGAGATCTAGTCTAAGCAAATTAAAGAACAAAAGTGTCTAAATCCATAGGTTTCTTCCACCAATAAGATGAAGACAAAGATAGCTAACATGGTTTGACAATTTTTCTCGAGGATCATCTTTGCTTAATGGAATGACTCCATTCATTGGCACCAACTTCTCTTTTAAATAACTTTCAAAACACAATTCATATACAGTCAAACCTCTCTCTAACAGAATCCTATATAATAATACTTCACTATAAAAGTTAAAAAAATTCCGGAACCATTATTATGTTATGTTATAATATCTGTTCTCTATAACGGCATTCGCCATAATATCCAAAAAAAAAAAATAGAACAAACGAGGTTGTTGTAGAGAGGTTTGAATATATATATATATATATATATATATATA